CCCTCCTGTCTTTGTCTGAGGCAGGATACAAGGGCCTCAGGCCTATCCCTTCCTATATTTGACGAGGGGTTTGGATGTGTACTGTGGTTTTTTGTTTATTTTGTTCTGAAGTTAAAGTATGCAAAATAAAGAAAATACAGTTTTATACAGTTCTGCTTTCCCTTGTAAAGTGGATCTGGTGCCTTTTGAGTTTCCTTTGCTTTCCTATTCCAAGTTGTACTTGCTTTCATCCTGGTAATTGGTTACTCTGGTACATTGAAAGCTAAAGTCACTTGTAACCATCTAGCAGTTCTGAAGTCCCCCAACATTGACTCTAAAGGGTGGCCACAAACCAGCATGTAATACTCTCCCCTTCCTAAAGCACATACTTCAGTCAACGAAAACACGGGACTCGAGACCATTGCAGCAATTTAATTTAATAAAATAAAATTAGAGCAAAAAGTTAACATTTCCAAAGTACCAAAACCTGCAGTGGGCTCTTGGAGCAGAGCCTGGGGATCCAGGAGCAGAGGGTGGTGGTGCTGGGTAGGGCCCTCCTGTCCTTCTCCCCCAGCACAGCACCGTCTTTCAGGGACTCCCGGGAAAGCAGCACTTGGAGCCTACAACACTTGTGCTTTTCTCACCAGAGTAAGTTCCATAGGTCTCTGGGAGGGAGTCTGCACGGGTGGGCCATTCAAGGGAGGGGACAAGCACAGGTGTGTTGGTGGCAGAGCCCACAGGGCAAGACTTCAGGGAATTTTGAGGGGCCTTAGAAGGTGCTTCTGCCTTCTCGGCAAGCCCCTCCCACCCACTGAGGAAGGTCCTCTACCTTGGGGCTCAGAAGAATCCCTACTGGAGGACGGGTGACTTAAGGCAAAGGGGAAGGCTGACTCCCGGACTCAACCCCAACTTGCAGAGCTGGTTTGTGATACTAAAAGCCTGCATTCTGACCTTGAGCCAGCCGCCTCAAAAATTCGAGTAGGAGAGGAAAACTGGTATGGTGAGGTTCTTGTTGGACTTCATCTCTCAGGCCCCTCAAACTTTCTGCACGGGGGACTCGACAGGCACAGCCTTCTTACCCCGTTGCTTTAGTCGGCCCCGGGCATAGACTCTGAGGAGGAGGGCAGCAAAGACCACGGCCACCCCCAGACCCCCCACCACAGTGACTGTGTGGCCGTAGAGGAGGCAGGAGAGGAGGATGGCGAAGGCCTGGCGGAGGGTCATGATGATGGTGAACACGGCGGCCCCGAACTGCCCAATGGTGTAGAAGATGAAGAGCTGGCCGCATGCAGAGCAGACTGAGAGCAGAAGGGCATGCGCAGCAAATTCACTGTGTCGCCCCATGAAGCGGGTCCCCTCCAGGAGGGCCCCCTGCTCTAGCAGGGAGCCCACCGTGAAGAGGCAGGAGAAGAAATTGACCCCAAACATCATCTGCACCGAAGACATCTTATAGGCAAACAGGGCATCCTGCCAGTTTGAGGTGAAGCTGTCAAAGGCGATGTAGCCTGCCAGCAGGATGAGGCCGGACAGGGTGGTGGCCGGGGAGCTGCGGGGCTCCGGTCCGCTGGACAGCAGGAACATGCTGACCCCGATGGAGATGAGGCCGGCCGTCAGGTATTCCCAGTGTTCGTAGCTGCGCCGAGACACCAACTTTCCCATCAGCATGACAGGGATCACCTTAGAGGCCTTGGCCAGCACCTGGGTGGGAAAGCTGACGAACTTGAGAGCTTCGTACTGACACCAGCTGCTGAGCACGTTTGACAGGCTGGCAAAGGAGTACCGGTACATGGGTGCCCCGTGCCGGGGCTGCTTGCAGAGGATGCAACAGAGGCCAGCCACCAGCAGGGCCAGCACCCGGTTCATCAGCACCAGGAACTGGGAGTCCGTGAAGCGCTCACCTGGCGAGGTGGCAGTAGCCCCATAGCTGCGGGTCATCACTCTCTCCTGCAGCACTCCCCAAGTCAGGTAGGACACCTGGAGGGAGAGGCGGGGAGGAATGAGGACCGAGAAGGTAGGAGGAGGAGAGGTGGCCCGAAAGATTTCGACCTCCCTCTTCCTCAGAAAAGGTCTAGATGATTCAAAGGACAGCATACGTATGTTGGTCCCTCTGTAATAACCAGAAGTTTCCTCTCCCCTCCAAAGCCTGGATTCACCTCGGAAGGATCGAGTGTGTGTGAAACGATGACAGAGGCTTTAGGCATGCCCAGACCCTGTCTGCCCCACAGGAGGGTACGTTAAAGCAGACTCCATCCCATGTATCCTCCTGTCTATCCTCAGTGGATTCGGGGAGTAAGACTGGACACCTGTGCGACACGTGTAGGACTAGTAGTGCCCGCTCCAAAGTGCCAAGAACTCCGTATCTTCGCTCCCTGTCACATGCAGTAGTGGGGGGAGGGCTGCGTGGCTTCCCCAAACTTTGATCAGTGGGTTAGCGGTATACGAGACATCACTGCAGGGGGAAGGGTAGTAATGGCACAGGAGAAATCACACAAGAGGGCAAGAGAAAGGGGGAAAGACAAGACAGTGGTTATCCCGACCACCTCTAAGATGGTGGTACTATGCGCCCCCTGGAAGAGGGGGCCGTGTTCACACAGCCAGCAAACCGCGGGGGGCTGGCAGGGTGAAAACTTTGGTTTCGCATCGTACCTGTCCTGGGGCCCAACCCAGGAAGAGAGGCAGAGCCTGCCTACCTACCTGGAGCCCCGCGGCACAGAAGAGCAGCTTCAGGGCCTGCCAAGTGGGAGTGGTCTCTGCCGGCTCGGTCCGGGAAGCCAGAGGAACCTCGTCAGAGGCCTTGGGCTCATGGCCAAACACACAAGTTTTCACCAGGGGAAAGCAGAGACCCCTGCCTAAAAAACAGGCACACAAGGTCAAGAGCCAGTATTCTCCCCAGCACCTCCTCTTGCCCAGAGCAGCCAGCGGCCCTGCTGTCAGGCCTACGGGCATCCCTCCCTCCCTTCCCAAAGCCACATCCCAATCTGGACTGCTGGTCAGCACTCGTAACAGGGACCTGGCACGCTTCCCCACCCTTTCGGCACACACACCTGTCTCCAGGTAGTTCTTCCGCTTGAAGTACTGCACCAGCAGGTAGCCAGGTACCATAAAGCTGGCATAGCCAGCAGCATTCACCAAAAAGCGGAAAAACCACAGCTGCGTCCATGACTCTGGAGGGGCTTCGGGGGTCTCCCCACCTGCCCCCAGGGAGGGGAGCGCAGCCAGCACCACCACTGCCCACCACCTGCGGGGACAGCGGACGTAAGGATTAGGGTGCCGTTCCTCATCCACTCGGCCCTCCAGAGGGGACTACACTGGAGAAGGGCCCGGAGTCTCCCCGCCCCCCTCAGCTGCAGCCCAGCCGGGACAAAGAGCCTCTCTCTCTCCTGGGGGGGCCGGCGCGGGCCAGGCGGGGCTCCCTCCCTCCTCGGGGGCGGACCCGCCCCTCTGGCCACACAGGTTCCCTCTGTTCCCTCCAGCGCTGGCCGGCCGTTCGGGCTACAGGCGGCGCCCCCTCCTCCCACCCCGCCCTCCAGGATCCCGGAGCGCCAGGGTTCCCAACTCCTCCGCCCGACACTCCCGGACCCTCACAAGGGAGGACACAAGTCCAGTCCACGCCAGCCTGCTGGCCTGGCCTGCTATGCGGGCCTGCCGCCGGGCAGCTGGGACCCCACCCGGCCCCTCAGTGCTCAGCAGCGGCAGCCGGCCTGGGGCTCGGTCACGTGGCCCGTTGCTTCCCCAGCTCACCTGGCGTCCATGGTCCGGGCCGTGGCGGAGGGGGCTGGGAATGTGGTCCCCGGGTTGCAGGTTCTCCGCTCCTGCTGCTCTCCAGGAGCGGCCGGCGAGCGAGCGGGCTAGCGGAAGTGCCGCCTTCCTGGGGTTTTCCTCCTGCGGGCTGCCCTCCTGCCCCAGCTGCGACCGCAGCGCCCTGGGCTGCCAGGGCCACAGTGCCCCCTGCGCGGCCCGGAGGGAGACGCGGCCCGGTATCCGGGAGCTGGGCTGCCCAGGCGGGGAGCCCCAGGCCCTTACACCCGCACCCCGTCATCGCCCTAAGTCCACAACCAACCTGGAGGGAGGTGCCCCTGCCCTCTGACAGGGACATTGATGTTGTGCGTCCCAAGCACTTCTACCACCCTTCCCCTGCTGACGTGAAGATACCTCCTTCCTTTCCCCAATGGGCTGCAGTTCTGTCCCAACTCCCCAAGACCCTTCAGGCTGGCATGACCTGGCCCGTTCACTTCCTGCCCACTCACCCACCTCTGCAGAGTCTCACTGGCCTGTTTCTCCGCTCTCTAATTCAAAAGGCTCGAACGCTTCCTCTCCACATCCCTTGCTCGTCCTCACAGGTTCAGGTGGGAGATGACAGGCCTCACAGACCTCCCCCCTGACCGCCCCAAAGTGTGGCCCTCCACCAACCCCGTGCTCTCCACCCCACCTTTTTTTCCTTCCCCCCTCACAGAATCCACTGCAGCTTGTAATTACATATTTATTGGGCGCTTTGCATTTTAATGGCTGTCTCACCCACCAGACCGTGAAGATCCAAGTGGCCAGATTGTGTCGTTGGTTTATCCCCTGTATCCATATTGGCCATATTCACTCACAGGGAATCTAAACGTGTGGAATGAAAGGAAAACACACAAAGCCACCCCTACAGGCTGGCCTTTTCCCTCCAGGGTCCCTCCAGATGGCCACCCAGGGCAGTGGTGATGCCTCCCCACCTGGGGTCTTCTGTTCAGGGTAAGGGTTTGCTGGAGCTGAGAGGCCTGAGGATGGTACCCCTCCCTCCCCCCCCCCCCAACATCTCCCTGCCCAGCAGAGTCCCACCCCTGCTCAAGTGGCAATTTCCTTCTCTGTCTCTCAAACTTACAGGTCACATGGCCTATCTAAAAATCCCCACGCACGCAGGACATGCACATGCGAAACAACTGTAGGGGATCTTTATAAGGTCTCTCAAGTAGTGTCATGTTATTGAAACTCTTCCCCAGAGGGTCAGTTCAGGGCCTCTGTGTGAAGTCTTTGAACAACAGTGTTTTAAGAGTCCTCACCAGCAGTGATGGAACCCCTCAGGGTCCTGCTTGCTGATTTCAGTTTCTCTCCTCACTCAGGAGAGCCCATGTCTTCCTACTGATTGGCAGTTTCAGGCTGACCCAACGGGTAGAAACAAGAGCCCTGCTGCCTTCTAGAGGCAACAGGCTTTTGCCCAGGATACCTGGGGCTTTGGGAGTCTTCAAGAATCTCCATCCACCTGGGAAAGTCTTCCTTCCAGACTTGCCTTCTCTCACTTGTGATCCCTCCTCTCCGCTCAGGACCGTACTGGCCCCAGGCTGTGGCCTCAGCAGTCCCCAGGACACCAGAAGGGCACATTGTCAGGGCCCAGACTTCAGCAGCTGTAGCTCCGGCTTCCGGATGTGAAGAGGTGGAGTCTCCGGGGCCCCAGACTCTGCCCTGGCTTCAGTCAAGCACAGTGGCTTCCCAGAGATCTTCAGGTCATCAAAGGGCAAAAGAGCCAAGGGCTGAGAAAGAGAATGGAGAGAAGCAAAATCAGGGCCCATGGGGAAAAAGCAGCAGTGGAGGAAGGGAGCTGGGCAGACAGATTGGACCATTTCTCCTCCACCAGATGACAACTCAAGGACATTGGGGAACAAATCTTCCCACTAATCCCCAACATAGCAGCCCCTCTGGGCTAGGCAGAGCCCTGAAGCCTTAGGCAAGCCCTGACTCTCTAAGATATCAGAATATCAGAGCTCCCACCCTGGAGGTGATTTAGCCCATGTGTCTGGTTTTGGGTTTTTTATTTCGGGGTGGGGTAGGGCGGGGGGTACTTAGAAAACATTTTGAATATTTTTTTAAGTAAGCTGTAGGCCCAGTGTGGGGCTTGAACCCACAACCCTGAGATCAAGAGTTGTATGCTCTACGGACTGAGCCAGCCAGGAGCCCCAGAGTATTTTTTACTCTGAACATTTTAAAATGGGAAAGACACTACAGGAAATCTAGGTTCCATCTTTCTTCAAAAAATTCCAAGACCTGGCAACACTGGGCCCACATTCTTCCTCAGCAACTATCTGCTGAAGCTGAGTAGAGTGACCCTTGGGCATTGACTCTGGTCTCTCACAGGCCCCATCACCTTGCCTTACACCTATCCTGTCTCACCCATCCACTGTAGCTGCAGGGCTCCTGTTAGAGTCCAAGTTTGGGCTCCCTGGTCTTGACCAACTAAAAAAACAGAGGGGCAGAGGCTTGCCCAAGGTCCCACAGCTGGTGAGTGGCAGAGTCGTGGATTACTCCCGGGGATCCTGACTCTTTGGCCCTTTCAGCCATTATGGTGCCTGTCTCTGCTCTAGGTGCAGGAGGTCCTGGAGAGCAGAGCTGAGCCTATGCCTCTTACATCCTCAGCCAGGTCCTGGGGAGTCTCGTCTTCCACGTTCCGCAGCAGGGAGTCGGCACCTGCCTCGCACAGAGTGGATGAGATGCTGCTGAGGCCCCGACCTGCCGCAAGGTGCAGGGGTGTGCACCCATTGAGCATGCGGGCGTCTACGCGTGCGCCAGCCTGGAGCAGGAACTGCACCAGACCCCGCTCCTGGGTCTCCACAGCCAGGTGCAGGGCTGTTTTCCCACTGGTGCCCTCCTGGAGGAGAAGAAGGATGTCAGCCAAGGCCCTCGAGAAGAATCGTGCTGGGCCTGGGCCCTGGATAAGGAGGTGAGTGCCACCACTGCTGACTGCTAGGCAGGGGACTTGGGGCTGGATCAGGCGGTGGGGCAGGCCCTGGGCCGGGCCCTGATTGGTCCTCTCACCTGTGTGTCAATGTCAGCTCCGTTCTGCAGCAGCAGTTCCATGAGTGGCCGGTTCCTCTGCAGGGTGGCGATGTGGAGACAGGCCAGACCTGGGATGGGGTGAGGGTGGGGGCTGCTAATCAGCATCCACCAACTCTCTCCCTCCCTCTCTTCAGGGACCTCCCTACCCCTCAGCCCCAAGGGACTCACTGCCCACTCAATGCCTCTGATCACAGGAGTGTTAAAACACAAACCCAAAAACCCCCTCAAAAGTCTGAGGGGAAAGGAACTCAAAGTTTCCACCTTTTCAGAGTCATGTTATTGAAACTTTCATGCTTCAGGGGTCAGGTTGCTGAGTGACACCCCACATAGGTGTGCCCTCCCCCAGCACACATTCCTCCCCTTTTTCCTCTTCCCCGCTTCGCCACCACCCTATCTCCTAACTTCTACTCTGTTTTGACCCATCCAAAAGCCACCTTCTTCAGAGCTCTCCAGGATCCTCAGGCTCCCAGCTACCTCTCACTCCGCCTAGTTCGTCCTGCCTGTAAGCTTTAGCTTTTGAGCACTTGCTTGGCGGGAACCAGCCTCCCCACCCCTCTACCTCCCACAGAACTTGATTCAAAGTGACATCCCTCACCTCCTTCAAGTCTCTGCTCAAAGGCTGCTGCTCCTTGAGGGTTTCCCTGGTCACTCTCTTTAAAAATCACACCCGCCCCATCCCTCACATTCTAGTTCTCACTCTGCTCTACTTTTCCCACAGCACTTACAGCTTGGTAACCTACTAGAGAACTCACTTCTTATATTTAGTGTCTGCCTCGATCGCTCTCCAGCTCCTGGAATAATGTCTGGCACACAGAAGGCCCCCAGTACATTTTTGTTGCATGAATTAACGAGTTCGTCTAATCTCTGTTAAACTAAATATCTTGAGGGCAAGGTTTAGCTCTCTGTTTAGCTCACAGTAGGCTCTCATTAAATTCTAAATCAAGTTCATTCATTCATTCGTTCATTCGTTCCTTCAGCAAAAAGGTACTGAGTACCTGCTGACTTAAAACTGGAGGTGCATTGACAGACAAGCTATGAACCTCCTTTTCCTGACAGTGGGGTCCATCTCTTGTCCCCTCCTCATCCCACAGGCCCTGAGGCTGCCCATACCTTGCCAGTTTTGCAGCTGGAGGTCCAGGGAGTGAGGTGGTCCTCGGCCCGGCTCTGGCCGCCCCTCCAACAGGCAGCGGGCACAGGCCAAGTGCTGGCGCTGGCAGGCCACATGCAGGGCCGTGTCACCGTGTCTATCCTGTAGCACCCGACTGGCCCCCTTCAGCACCAGGGCCCGAACTGCACCCGGCTGGTCCAGATGTACAGCCAGATGGAGTGCTGTCTGTAGGCACAAAGGGTCCAGGGCTACTGTAGCATGCTCCCACCTCTGGGGACGTGCTAGAGTGGACACAGGAATTACCAGCTGCCAGCACCTTTTTTGAGGGCAGCTTATAAAGGCTATGGCCCTGGTCTTCCAAGGAAATGCTACCAAACCCTTCCCTCTGTCACTGCCCACCACCCCAGTTCTGGAGGCAGGGTGAGGAAAGTGGGGCCCTGCTCTTCTTAGGGGTCCCCTCAGCCCCTGGAGAAAGGACAGTTGGGGGCAGGGAAGACCTCTGTTCTCCTTGGGGGCCAAGTGACAAGGACGGGCTGGAGGGAGGAAAGACAGAGGCACCAGGCAGGCAGTCTCAACCTGGCATACTCCTCTTTTAAGGCTCCGTGCAGATGCCGCCTCCTGTATTAATGCTCCCCACAGACACTGGGTCCCACAGCAGCTGGGGTCACAACTCTGGTCACCATGCTATGAAATCAGGAGTCCCCTAGCCCGGGCTCCAGCACCTTGTGGGCAGAGGCGTGTCTTACTTGCGTGTAGCATCAGCTTCTGTCCCAGGGTCTGGGATATGGTTTCCTGAGTGCGCAGCCCAAGTACCCTCGTGTGGCTGCTGGGAATGGCTGTCAGGGCAGATATAGGTATCTGGGCATAGCCCAGCCTTTCCCCCCACCCACCTGGTAAAGGTTGTTCTGAATGTCCAGGACCTCCTGGGGCAGCAAAGCCAGGCAACAGAGCAGCACGGCTGGGGCCTCGTGAATCACCGCCAAGTGGACCAGCCTGGGAGAGGGAGACCAGGAACAGGGTTTAAGTGTTAGGGCTCAGGCCAGAGACAGTGAGCTAGGGTCCTGGGGTTAGAAGGAAGAACACATCAATCTCTAAGAAGACACACATAGGGTCGGTGTAGGAAGTGAGAGTTTGGGCCAGGAAGTGAGGGTTGGTGAGGGAAGCCAGGATTCCGGCGGGTGGGAGTTCCAAGTTCCCATCTCTGGCCTTCAGGGGGGCCTTGGCTGAGTGGGAGCGTGGGCAGGGTGCTGATGGGACAAGGTCCTTCCTGTTCAGCCTGCCCACACCCCACTCCCCTCTGGCCCCAGGGCCCCACCGGGCCGGCTGCAGCTCAAAGCCAAACTGAAAGCTGCCGGGGTAGCACAGAGGTGGTTTCCGGGGCTGAGCTCCCCACGTCTGCCAACCCCAACAGGGAGGACTGAGAGGGCAGGAGCGGGGTCACCCCCACTCGGGGCAACTCAGTGGTACACATTCCAACGGAGAGAACACAGAAGCTCGTGGAAGAGGAGACAGTGCGGCATCCTGTCCTGCTGCCCTTTCACAGGGGGATCAAGAGGGTCACTCTTCAGACAGCACAGACTGGGTGGGGCCTGACCAGAGGCCCTCCACTCCGAGGACACGTCCAAGGGGAGGTCTGTGCAGTGCAGAAAGTGTGTGTTTGTTGGGGGCCAAAGAGCCTTAATCTCTTGCTCAGGTGGGAGGGGGCAGTTGGGAGGGGAAGTTCCAGTCCTGGGGTTTCCCCACATCAGGTGGGGAAAACGAAAGCCAGAGCTGGAAGGTCTAGGCCGTGACAGCTGCCTTGGGGCATGAAGTGCCTTGGGGGGGTAGTTTGGGTAAAGGCCTGTCTGGGCTGGGGAGGGGGCTGCTCAGGCAGAAGGGGGGCAGGCTCAGTGGCGGGGCGGCAGGAGAGGCCCAGGAGAGAGTGACTGAGGGAGGGAGGGAGGAACCGCTCTGGAAATCCCCTCGGCCAGGGCCTGTTCTCTAGGTCACATTCCTGCAGCCACCTCCCTCTCTCTCTGTCTCCCCTCCTCCCACTTCCTCTCCCCACTTCCATAAGTCCTATAAGCCAGACACCTCTGAGGGAAGACAGTGCCCCCTCCCCTCTAAGGACCTTCTGGGGAGTCCTGACACCGCTTCTCCACCGCCCCTAACCCCACAGTCTAGACACGACACCTGTCTTTAACTAGAGCCGGGTAAAGGCTTCTGCTGAGAGGCTGACAAAGGACGGCAGTGCCAGAAGTCACCACTCCCTAGGTCAAAGGTCAGCCAGAGGTATTCCACATGGAACCCCCAAATTCTTGGTTCTGGGCCTGAGGGTTGGTGATCTGGGCGGGATACAAAAAGGCCTGAGGTCATTCCTCTCCCACTCCCTGGGTCCAAACGCTATCTTTGTCAAAGGCCACCCAGGATTAGGACCCTCCCATCTCCTCCAAAAAGCAGGTCAAGACAGACACCTGCTGCCTCCTCTACCCTCCCCACCCCCATTCATTCCAGCATCCCCAGTCTGGGACCCCAGCCCACTCCACTCTGTTCCTCATCCACAAATCCCAGCCACCCCCTCTCTTGACAGTGTTTCTTCTTCCTAAGGGACAAATCCTCAAATGGCCAGTCCCTCCCACCCAAACTACTTCTTACTTTAACTGCCTGCCCCCCCAGCCCAGTCCCCACCAAGCTCCACCTGGGCCTGGGGCAGGAAGGGTAAAGTAAAGGGGTCAGACAGGACAGTGAGGGGGACTTGGAGGGCTCAGGAGGTAGAGGGTGCCGGTAAAGCTGACTCCAGCCCTCACTTCCCCTTTCACAGCAGAGAAGGAAGTAAGCTGGGCAGCCAGCCGCCTGTCTGTCTGATGGGGCAAGAGTGCTCCAGCCTGGCTCACCCCCTCTTCCTCAGGGCTAGCCTCAGCTCTGCACCCTGCCAGCAACTCCATCCTTAGCTTCCTGACCCCTCCTGGCAACCTGTAACTGGCATCTTTTGTTCCCCGAGACGGGGCATTCTGAGGTCAGGGGCTGGGAATCCCAGATATTGAGCAAACAAGGATACCTACCCTCTTCCCCAGCAAGGAAAAAAAAAACCCTAAAAATCTGGACTGGTCAGGGGAATTTTCTCTTCCAAGGGGTGGGTTATTGGTAGCTTTCCGAGCTGCTAGCTGGGTTCCAGGTGTCTGGTAAGGGCCCTACCAGCTCTGCCCACCTCCCAAAGGGAGTGCAGAGAAATGATGCTGGGGCCTCTGGTCTGGGTCCCTCCAGAGCTAAAAAGTGGGCTAAGAGTGAAGTCTGGAGTTTGGAAGAGTGGGGACGGCCCCTTCCAGCGCGGGTGTCTTGAGGGATCCTCACAGAGTGGGTTCCCGGCCTGTTGAGGCTCCTGGCAGGCCCAGAGTTGGCATCGATTGGAAGGGGTCCCTGTCTCAGCTTAGACCCCAGACTCACGTGTCTCCATCCTCCGAGATGTAAGTGAGTGCTTCCAGCTGCTGAGGGCTCAGCGCTCCCGCTGCGGGGAGCGGAGAGCGTGGGGCTGGGTCCTCGGTCTCCGTGCCTCCCAACAAGGGCAGGGGCTCAGTGAGCGACGAGGAGCCATAGGTGGAGTCAGCTCGCTCCCCATCTGTATCTTCCTTCTCCTGTGGCTCCTTGGCTGTTCCCGGAGGATGGGTCCAAGGCTGGGGGCCGCCACTGTCCGAAGGTCCGGAGGCCGGGGCCGGGGTGGGCTCGGGCAGGGAGCGCAGAGAACGCAGAGACTCGATGCCCGAGTCGTACTGGCTCTCATCCGTCTCGTCCGGCCCCTTGCGCGCCTCCGACATGCCCGCGGTGCCGGCCCACGGGGGCCAGGTCCGAGCAGGATCCGGCTCCGGGCTCCGCCGCGCCGCCTTTCCGGGTTGCAGGTCCGCCTTGCGGAGCTGGCGCCCGGCCCGGAGTGGCGTTCTTCCCGGGCTGCGGGGGCCCGAGGGGTCGGCGAGAAGCGCGGGCGAGGCTCGGAGCGCTGGCGGGTTCCAAGGCAGCGGCTACTCAGAGCAGCTGGACAGCCCAGTCGGACGCGCTCTCTCGCCCCGCCCCTCCTGCCCCGCCCCCGACAGACGCTTCCGGACCGAGGCCCCGCCCTCCGGAATCCCCCTTACCCCGCCTTCTGCGTTGGCTCCGAGTCAGGGGTTACCCGGTCCTGAGTCACTCGTGCGTAAATTCACCCATTCATTCATTCATTCACCCATCCATCCATCCTTCCATCCATTCACATTTTCCCCCGTCCTTCTTTTTTTCATTCATTAATTCCATGCATTTTCTTTCCTTCCCTCCCTTCTTCCATTTCTTCATTCATTTTTCCATTCATTCATTCATTCATTCGTTTGTTTTTAAAGGAATATTTATTAACCGTCTGCACAGGCTGAGCTGAGCGTCTTGCAGGGAAAGCACGTAGGTGATGGGACGGGGAGCCATTGCTTCCTATCTGCTGCCCATTTCTCTCAATTTCTCTGTTTTTCTCATCTATCAGTGCCCAGGAGTTTGGGTAGGGAAAGATAAGATACCTATTGTCTGTAAAGAAGCAGTTTTCCCTTTGGGTCCTGGATAGAGGGTCTCCTGTGTCAAACTTCCAGATCACATAGAATTGGGCATGAGGACGGATTTTTAATTTTTGTTCTTTTTTGAAAGTAGGTTTTCCCAGGCAGGCCCTTGTCTAAAAAAAAAAAAAAAAAAAAAGGCAGAGTGGTCATGTTTTTTGTTTGTTGTCTAAAAAAGCAGAGTGGTCATTCTTCACAGGGATGAAACACTGGCTCCGGGTAGTTACAACATCTGGTTACCCCCAGCAGGCAGGGAAGTTTAGTTCCTCCTGGTGGGGCCAGGATGGGGAGGCCCCAGACATGCTGGGCCATGCTCTGCTGAGGTCCCCACCACAGCCACAGCCCTCATGCTGGCACATCTTTCCTCCTTCCCTGTCCCTGCTTTCCCTGGGTCTAAAGGGCCTAGGGAGGTTGTAGGCATACTCCACCCACACAGTGAGCCCCAAACTAGTGCCCCATGATTCATCCCCTACCCCAAGTGCCAAAACCTAGGGCAGCAGTGACTTTAGATCATCCCCAAGGGAACATCTCCCTATTCCATCTCTAGCATTGGTGGAAGGAAGCTGGAGTGAGTGTAGACAGCTACTAACCAGCTCTCCTACTGCCCTCCTCCGTGCAACAGCATTTTAACCATCTATCTGACAGACATGTATGGGGCTTCTCCTGTATGCCTGACACTGGTATTTCTTTTTTTTTTTTTTAATTTATTTTTAAAGCTTATTTATTTATTTATTTATTTATTTAGAGAATGATCATGCCCTGAGCTGAAATCAAGAGTCAGATGCTTAACTGACTGAGCCATCCAGGCGCCCCTGACATTGGTTTTTCTGCTGGAAGCAAAAGCAAGTATCAATAGTAACAGTAATAACCAACAACCACTAACCCCACCTCACCCCAAAATGTCCCATGGCCCTAGCCTTCACAAATCTCCCTGACAATTACAATACAGACTGATTGTGCTAAGACAGGAGTGAGCACAGGGTGCTGTGGGGCCATGGAGTGGGGTCAACTACACAGTGGGGTGAGGGGAAGGGACGGTTTCATCTGACCTGGAAATGGGAAGGGAAGAGGGCTGGGGAGAAGAGAAGTGCCTAGTGTGTGTGCTTGGAGGGGGGGCAGTGAGTAAAGAGAAGAGAGTGGATGGACAGACAGGAGGAGATGACCCACTGCTCTTCCTCCCCGTGGAGGACCAGAGTGGAGAGGATGTGTTGAACATGAGGCAGTGAGACGCCATGAGGGGAAAGCCCAAGGAAATTGAGGCATCTCCTTCCCTTGAGGTCAGCGTGATTTCAGATGTTCTCAACTTCCTCCCCTGACATGTTCCTCTCTCCTCCTCAAAGGCTGGAGCAAAAAATACAGTCATACACTCCAGACCCAGACGACTTGGGCTCAAAATCTGGCACGATCACATTCCCATCTTAAAGTTGGGAAGCTGAAACCCAGAGGGGTGAGTTGACCTGCCAAAAATCAGTCAGAAAAGGCAGAGCACGGTTCTCCTGCCCCTAATCCAAAACTTTGAAAAAATTTTTCAGTGAAACTTTCTTTCTTTTATTATGAAGGTCTAAGGAATTGGGGCATCTGAACCTTCGGCAAGGACACAGAAACTCAGGAAGATGCAGTGACTGCTCCTTTCATTCATACGGAGGCTGAATTTAAGGAAAAACCTATCCCAATTCAGTCCCGGGTCTCGCTCTGAACCAGAACAGGTGTGTAGCTGCCCCTTTTCTAGCCACGTGGGGGCAGCATTGAGTCACGCACTGCTTCCAGCACCTAGCCTGCACTTTGACAGGAAGCCCTTAGGGGGACACTTCAGGAAAGGGGACAGGGACCATACAGTTTCATTTGGCAAGATGACATGAGGACTCTGACTCAGGCCTCAGCGTGGTCAGGGCCCTGACTTTGCTTCCTCAGCCCCTCCAGTCCTCTTCTCTCTCCGCCGTTTTTTTCTGGTTCCCTTTGTAGTGCCCCACTCCCAGCCTCCACCCACCCCAGTCAAGCTCATCTTCAGAAAACAGGCCCAGTTGCCATGGTGACCAGCTGGTCAGCTGGCTCCTTCCACACCCCCTCCCTTCACCCCTCTTTCCCCCGAGCTTCCAAGGAAGGGTTATGTGTGTGAATGGAGAAGGGGAGTTGTTGGGGGGCTTTTATCTTGGGAGCTCGGGGGTTGGCCAAAAGGAGTTGGGCTAGCTCTCCTCCAAAGCCCCCTGAGGGGGAGAAGGGAAGGCAGTAGGGGTGGGGAACAGGAGGAAGATGATAACAACTAAGTGGAGAGTGTGAGGATCCCATCTGGGTTGGGAAAGGGAAGGGTTAGGAACTCTGCACTCTGTCTGCAGTGAGGACTGAACTAAATGGAATGGGCTGAGGTAAGATGAGGGGTTGGAGTTAGATGTGAGGCAGGACTTCCCACAAAGCATGAGTGAGAGACCCTGGAGTGAGCCACCAAGTGAGAGGGCTCTTCAGGACCACACCCTTCCTCTGTTTGGGTAGGGAGGAAGGACTCACTGACTACTGGAGGATCGTGCAGGCTGGATAGTCCTGAAGCAAGAGGCAGACAGCCGACCATCCACCTTCACCTTGCCTGGAAAGAGAAGAGTAGGAAAATGGAGGCAGGACCAGGAGTGGGGGTGTATGTGGGGGTGGAGGCAGTGACTAACCTGCCTCAGATGAGGGGCAGGACCATCCCAGCAGATCAGTACGCTTGTCCCCTATCCCCAAAGACCAGATTATCCCAAGCTTTGCCTTAAACTAACTTCCTACTCACAAACATCTGCATGGCCTTTGGAATGAGAAAGATCTGGATTCTAGGATTAGTTCTGTGAGTACCAGCAGGTGACCTTGAATAAGTCAGTTACCCTCCCTCTACCTTGGTTTCTTGTGGGTAAACGGGGGAACAGTTAATATATATATGTCAAAGACTCTAATGTAACACATGGCAAGCAGTAGGATTCCACAGTGACTGTGCACACACAGATTGAATATGTGTAGCCTTTATACTACTTTTTTGATGTTTATTCTTTTTGAGAGACAGTGAGTGGAGGGTGGGGAGGCAGAGAGAGAGAGAGAGAGAGAGAGAGAGGTAATCCCAAGCAGGCTCTGAGCTGTCAGCACAGAACCTGATGGGGGGCTTGAACCCACAAACAGGGAGATCATGACCTGAGCCCAAATCCAGAGTCAGACACTTAACCAACTGTGCCACTCAGGCACCCCTATTCTATTTTTTTTTAAAGATTAAAAAAAAATTATTTTAGAGAGTGTGGGGAAGTGGGGGGGGGGAAGGAGCAGAGGGAGGAAGAGAGAGGATCTTTTTAAAAAAATGTTTGTTTATTTATTTATTTTGAGACAGCAGGGAAGGGGCAGAGAGAATTCCAAGCAGGCTCCACGCTGTCAGCACAGAACCTGATGTGGGGGGAAAACTCACCAACCATGAGATCATGACCTGAGTCGAAATCAAGAGTTGGATGCTCAACCAACTGAGCCACCCAGGGCCCCAGAGAGACAAAATCTTAACAGGCTCCATGCTCCGCATACAGCCTGATTTGGGGCTTAATCCCACAACACTAGGATCATGACCTGAGCTGAAATCAAGAGTCAGATGCTCAACTGACTGAGCCACCCAGGTGCCCCCCCCCATTATACTATTTTATCATAATGATTGGT